ACATAATGGAAACACGTTATGGATTACAACCTACATTGAATGTTCGCATTGAAGAGAGTGTTGTCATGTTTTTACGGATATGTGGACACAATGAAGTTCAAAGAGATGTTGGGTTACGATTTGGACGAACGCAAGAAACAGTGAATCGGAAATTTTTTGAAGTCCTTAGAGCAACAGAGTTACTTGCTTGTGATTATATCAAGACTCCAAACAAGACAAGAACTACGTCAAATTCCTGAAAAACTACAAATGGATAGAAGATATTGGCCATATTTCAGTGTATTTGTTGGAGCTATAGATGAAGTTCATGTATGTGTTAAGGTGAAGCCTGAACTACAAAGAATGTATTGGAATCGACACGATAGAACATCGTTTAATATCATGGTAATATGTGATATAAATATGTTGTTTACATATGTTTGGAATGGAGCACCTGGATCGTGTCACGATACAGCAGTTCTAACTATGGCACAAGATAATGATTCTGAATTTTCTTTGCCTCCAAGAGACAACTATTATAACTATTATGTAGTTGATTCTGGGTATCCAAATAAACAAGGCTTTTTGGCACCTTATAGATTTTCGCGGAACGGAGTTGTTAAGTATCACATGTCACAGTTCTACAATGGTCCTCCTCCTAGGAATAAACAGGAGTTGTTTAATCGATGTCATGCATCTCTACGTTCTGTTATTGAGAGGACATTTGGAGTTTGGAAGAAAAAATGGAGCATTCTTTGTGAATTCCCAGATATGATATTGATGTTCAATAAAGAGTGGTAACGGCTACAATTGGACTACATAATTTTATCAGAATTTCGAATTATTTTGATGAGGATTTTGTTGAAGTAATGGGAGATAAAAATATCAACAACGTAAATTCTGAGAATGATCTTGATGACATGGAGAGAGGTAGTAGGTAGTATACCTGACGGAAATCATATGGCAAATATAAGAGAAAATATTGCTGATATGTTATGGGCAAATCAAAATACTTTCCATTAAATTTAATTTGTTTTTGCTTATGTATTGTCTTCTTTTTTTCACTCTTATGTGTTGTATTTGGATATTTTATGTTTAATATTTAAAATTATTTAATAGATTAATATATTTTAGTTTTATATGATTTTATTTATACATATCATAATATATTATAACATTATATAAAATAAAATAAAAAATAAACTAAAATACTTTGTATTGTAATAATAATAGTATTAAAAATAAAACTGTATTTTACATATGTATTTTTAATAAAGTTTATAACAATATGTAGTTCTTAATAAATTTTTAGTTATATTGTATCCTATTTATTATTTAATAATTTGATATGCACATGTTGAACAGCTTTCACCATTCGAACTCCTATTTGAACTGTTTGATCTGCATGATCTGCACTTGTCCTACATGTTCTGCATGTTCTGCATCTTCTCCAAGATCTGAATGATCTGCAACGCTTGAACTGTTTTTACCATTCGAAGCCTAAGGTAGCAGTTTTCATGAAATAAGGCAGATGAATGATGGATCAAAAATGTTCGAACATGTGTCAAACAGTTAAAAGGAAAATGGTGTTGCTTAGCGCAAAAACCATCACTTTTAAGAGATTGCAAAGACTATGATGTTTGAGAAAAATGTTCCAAAACATTATTGGACTGATCAACAACAAAATGAGATAAAAATGTCTAAAAAATCATATACTCTATGTAGGCTTGGGCCGAATCCGGATATCCGGCTTTTTTAGGGTATCCGGATCCGGATCTGGATCCGGCCAGATCAGTCTTTTCATTATCCAGATCCAGATCCGTTCCACCTGGATATCTGGATCCGGGTTTTTTTTATATAATTTTTTTATAAATATAAATTTAAAGAAAAATATTTAAAAATAAATAATTTAAATAATAGTAATAAAATATTCAAAAATATTATTATAATATAAAATATCCCGGATCCGGATATCCGGCTTTAAATTTTCTATTATCCGGATCCGGATCTGCCCCACCCGGATATTCTGTTTTTCGGAGCGGATCGGAGCGGATCCTGGATTCCGGATAATTGGTCTCAGGGCTAACTCTATGAGATAGAAAGATGTTGGTTAAGTTATAAATACACTCATCCGTGAATTTGATTTTAATGAATGGGAAATTGAACAGACTATACCTCGAAGAGTCGTTATTTAGGGGCCGAAAAAAGCTACTATTTGGCTGGAACTGTTTATGTGGAAATTGCGCATGTACCCCTATATAGCGGGAAGATCTTTTTATACTGTTTGAAATATATTGTGTCAGACGGCCGTATTAAAATCTTAGTAGATCTTTATTTGTATTGGCGTGTTGTTTTTTTTTGGTTTTCCTTTATTTAATTGGTCTTGGGGAAACGAGTCGTCGTTATCCTTTTTATTTCATAAGGAGAGTCGCATCCCTTTTTTGTCTTAGTAAAACTCATTGTTTTTCAGAGAATCGAAGCGCTTTCGTCAGCCTATCTTCTGTGTTGTTTCAATTCGCCGTAGTAAAATTCTCTTTGTCGCAGAGCCGGAGTAAATTTCCTATCTATACTGCTGTCTACGTTTTTTCGGAGTCTGATAAGATTTTGTTATATGATTGTCTAACTGCGGCTCACATTTTTCTTGTTAGATGCGAGAGATTGAACTTCCGAATCGGTTGATCGCTGCTGGAGAAGAACCCCTTGGGGAAAGAGTTAATGTATACCACAAAATCAAAACACTATGCGGCATTATTGAAGCTTTGGATGACGAAGAACGTGAGTACATTGCGGGTACTTCGCTTGGAGGGATTTTGGATTTTCCTAATAAGCCGTCGTGGTCTGCGAGTTTTGGTATTTTCCTTTTGAGTCGCCAATTGGATGTAGCGAAACCCAATGAGATTTGGGTTGTATACGCCGGCACGCCTGTTCGTTTCTCGCTGCGGGAGTTCAAACTTGTTACTGGTCTTCCCTGTGGTAAGTACCCGTCTCGGAAAAAGAAGAAGATAAGAGGGACGGCTGGGAAAAAAATTCCTTATTACAGCACTTTGTTTGGGCTTGAAGAAGACGTGACAGTGGAAAGGGTTGTCACGATGTTGAAAAGGAGGATTGTCTCTGATAGAGACGTAAGGCTGAGATACGCGTGCCTGGCCATTGTTGACGGGTTTCTTCTTCCTACCTCTCATTACCCCAAAATAGTGAAGGAACACGCTGAGATGTCTGAAGATTTGGAGGGTTTTCTTGCTTATCCTTGGGGGCGGATGTCGTTTGAGATGATGATGACCTCAATTAAAGAGAGGGAAGTTGAGCAACTCGCTACTACTTGTGTCGCTGTTCAGGGCCTGTTATACGCTCTCCAGCTTGTTGTTTTGCAAGCTGCTCCCGCTATTCAGGAAGGCCCGTTGATGGATGAGGTTGTGGGGACCGACTCTGATGTAGATGAAGCTGTTGAAGTTGCTCCTCGTCAGTTGGTTCCCCTGATGCTTGGCAATGCGAAAGAGTTGGATGGTAACTGCTCGGTAAGAAATCTACCACCCGATAATTATATTATCTTGATATCATTTTTGTTAGCGTTTCTAATCTTCATCTCCGATATGTTTTACTACGCAGACGTATGTGGAGCCTATCATTTGCCCTGACGTGGAGATGAACCCGGAAGAAGATTTAAGCTGGTCTGATGATGAGGAAGATGTGAGGGTTGATAACATCGTCAAGTTAGTTGGCGAAGGGATTACTTTTCGCAATGAAATGTTTACTGGGGGATGTATACCATCCGAGGTGGAAGTGGGGCCAAAAAAGGTTAAGAGGGGTGGCAAATCCAAAATAGTCCGTGGTAGGAAGCCACAAAACCAAGGGAGGAACCCGGTTGGTCTACGAAGGAAGCATCAAAGTCCCAATTTAGAGGAAGGTCAAGGTTCTGGTCATGTAATGAAAGATGATTTGTCTCGATTGCTCGATGACAAACTCGACGGCCTAGAAAAAAGGATCATTCAAGGGGTGATTAATTGGTTTGTCAGGAATACTGTTATTGACGTTGACAATTCTAAAACCCCGGCGACATCAGGAGACCCCGTTCCTGCTGATAAGTTGAAACAATCTGCTGCTGAAAAAAATGTGAATTCTTCCCCTGTTCACGCCTCTGCTGCTCATGCTATGTATGATTCTTTTCCAGCTGGTGAATATAATATCCGGTCTTCTACCCCTGTTGACGTGATGGCTGGTGTTGAAGATATAGTGAGTTTCTACAATTCTAATAACGTCGGTGGTGATGGTAATAACGTGGCTGGTGTGCCTCCTAACCTAGATAATGTAATGGTTAGTTTATAATAGCGTTCTGGCGTTACTTTTAATATGTTCTGAAATTTCAAGTTTTGAAATTTAACAGTGTTTTATTGTTGGCAGAATGAAAACGAGAAGACTATGCCACCTCCCGGGAAGCCTGCCGATAATGTTAATGTTAGTTGTTAACATTAAAACACTGATCACTTGTTTCTTATCGTTTTTGTTGGTCTCGTCATTGTGAAGCCTTTTTTGGCGATTGCATTCTGCCCTTTTTTATTCATTTTTGCTTGTGTTGCTCTCTTAATGAATTGGTAACGCATTATTTATTTTTGTAGGGCCTATTGCCTGAGTTGTCTTCTTCCTTGCCAGACAGCAGCATGCAGGTTACGTAGTATAGTTAAGTTTTATGTATTAGATATCTATATTTTTACCTGCTAACGACTAATACGTAATTGTGAATTATTAGGGTGATGACATGGAGACATCGTATCCCAGAGAGTCGGAGGTAAGTTAGATAGGAAATTTCGTCCGGGGAGTACCATTTTTAGATTATCCGTTTCATAAATTTATTATTCATATCTTAATTGTTTCAGTCGGGGAGTGAGACTACTCGTGGAAGTCAGGAAGAGGTTGATAATAATGAAGTTACCAGCTAATTTCTTTATCCGTTATATCTTTCTCAAACGAATATATGTATCAAGTTATTGTAATGTTGTTGCATTTTTGCTTGTTAGGCTATCAGACCCCTCCATTCTGATTTGCCACCTACTACAGATGCTGATGTTAGTTAAATGTGTTTTATATTTTATTTGTTTTATATAGTAGTTTAGCAGCTAAGTATTATATGTGGCTAGCTAATATTTAATTCCCTTTCTTTTCTGAAGCCTGGGGATACAAATCTCCCTGCTTCTTCGTCCCCAACATTACCTGTCCTCCCCGATGGCAGTGGTGCGATTGTGGGAGCTTCTGATTCTGTCTTAGTAATGGTTGATCTTCATCTTTTTTTTTTTTATTATTTTTTCTTTTGTTTGGTGGTTTTTCTGATTCTGGAGCCGAGTTTTCTCAATTTTCTCCACGATTCCCCAGGTCAACAACTCTGCTGAGGCCCTCGAGCATCGAGCTCACGAACAGGTTTTTCCATTTTTTCTTAACCTTTCTATTCATTTTTGTACCCCCTTCGTTCTTATTTAGCTGGTAAGATCGTTATCATTCATTTATTTTTATTTATTTTATTCTTTCTTCCAGGCAAACAGCAGTCCTTTGGAATCAACCTCTGCAGTCGAGGAAGAGAAGGATTCTGATCAGGTCAGTAGTTTCTTCTCTTTCACTAACTTGCATTTTGGCAAATCCTTATCAGGTGATTTCAATTTAAGGATTTCACCAATTAGTAACCGGTGCTTTAGCAGGTAAGATTGGTATCATTCATTCTCTTTTAATTATTTTATTCTTTCTTGCAGGCCAACAACAATCCGGCAAAATCAACCACTGTAGGCGAGGAACAGAAGGATTCTGATGAGGTTAGATATTTTTGCCCTGTCACAGATTTAATTTGGTAAAATACTTAAAAGGGGATATATTGCTTGTTTCATTTTTAGGATTTCACCACTCCACCCCCGTCAACCCAGTCTCGATCTAACGTCAAGGTTATCTTGTAACTATGGTGTTATCGCTTATTGTTTATATTCATCAGTTGTTTATAATTTTTCATTTTGTAGGAGGTTTTGTGTGCCAAACCTCTGTCCTTTGTTGATGGCAAGGCCGCCCCTGTTGCCCCCTCGAATGTCTGTTTGAAGGCTGGTAGGAGGAGCAAAAGGCTTAGAACCTTTTCTAGTAAATTAGATGAGAGGTTCCATTTCGATAAGAAAATTAAGGGCTTAGTTGGCCACCCTTCCCCGTTGGTAGTAGGAAGTAATCAATGCGTTGACCCTGAGGAACGATTCCAAGGATCTCTTAAAAAACTCAAGGCGACAAGGTTAACTTTGTTACCATGTACTGTTGGTTATCCGATAGTCTCAACATTATTCCCTATTTTTAGGATTTACCATTTGTTGCAGTTCTGTTTCCCTGGGTGGTGATATTTTGCTTGCAAACAAGGATATTTTTGAATTGATTGAGCGGAAAAAACATCTCAACAACAAGGTATTAAACCCTCTACTTTTTATCTATGTATGTTTTAATTTATCATTACCCCTTTTGTTTATTTCTCTTGTTTTCTTTCAAGGTCTTGGATGCACTAATCAAGTTCAGTCGGCATATATTGAGGGTTGACGATGGTGACGGCGAGAAGTTGCGTGTTGAAGTCCTCGATTCGAAGTTTGTTTCCCAGCTAACTCGTCTTTATTACAAGTTTTCCAAATCTGATTCCCCTGGAGATTTCATTTTCCCATCCCCATTGATTGATATCTTACGTGGAGCTGGGGATCCTGAGCGTGTTGAGTTATTTTCCGAGGCAGATTTTCTTTACCTGCCGTTTAACTTCGACAAAAAACATTGGGTTGCATTGTGTGTTGACCTCAATGGCGGCAAGATTGTAGTCCTTGACTCTAATTATCAGCTCCGTAAAGATGCAGCTCTACAATCTGAACTTCAGCCTCTTGCTGTCATGCTGCCTTTCCTTCTCAAACAAGCTGCATTTAATCCGTCTATGAAGCAGTTGCCTGTTAACCCATTTTCTATTGAACGCCCTCTGTCGATCCCTCAGGTTTCATCTCCATTCGATTCTGGGGTTGTATCTGTCTTCTTAATCCATGCGCATGCCACTGGAGGTCTGGAGGAGTGTAATGATTTTGACGTTGGGGCGATTGAGAGTGAAGTGAAAAAGCTTGTTTGTGCTATAATGATTGCCGGTGTTGCTTCCTAACCGTTTTATTAGCGGTCTTAGTTGTTTCTTATCCTGAACCAATCTCTTACATCTTTTAATGTTTGGTTATTGCTACTTTTTTAATTTCTTGGGTTGTTACTATTTTTAAGTAATATTTGGAGTTTTTTTTTGTTGTTCTTTTTTATGTGCTAACTGGTTGGTTCGTAACCCCTCAGTCCGTACCCTTCCTGTTGTTATGTAAGCCTTTTGTTACCCCCTAACAATTGGAGCAATATTTTTCACTAAAACTAAGTGTTTCTTGAAAGTGTAAACGGCGACGGTTACCTAAAAAATAATTAAATTTTTGCACCCACCCTTGTTAAATATCGACCGCAATTTGTTGCTTAAGCTCCTATTCTCCTATTGAAATCCCGAACCCTTGATATAGCAGTTAACCTAAGATATAGCAGGTAAGCTTAGATCTTTTTTCTCAGAAATACTGGGTATAGTAATCTCCCTGCGTCTTCGTCACAAACATTACAAGAGTACATTAGAGACAAAAGCCATCCAAAATGACAGAAAACCAATATTCAACAATGACTCAAAATAAGGAAGGACAACAATTACGCAAATCTGAGTCAAACACATGACGATGATTCAACCTAGTACCTTAATGAGACCTACCATGATCAAAAAACCAAAAACAAAAAAAAACATCATCTTATTCATCTTGGACTTTAACTCAGACATTTTTTCCATCATAGCATCTTCCACGCTCTCAAAAATCTCTTTCTGAAGCTCCTTATGCATTTTCTCAAAAATCATCTCGTCGTGCTTCATTGAATTTGTTATGATCTCTTTGATGTCTTCTTGCAGCCTCTTAGTTTGCCCATTCAATGTCGATACCTCATCACACAATGCCTCATCCACCCACTTAAATGTGTGGTTATCATTCATAAGCTACAACGAGAAAGACAAGTATAAGTACAATGACAATCTAAAATAAACATTAGCCATCAAAGTTCAACGGAAGGGTATTACTCTATTTGATGCAGCATAACCACAACGAAAGTAGCGGCGGTATGGATTTGGGTCGGATTTTGAAATTTTTTGCACGATTTGTTCTCCACACCAACATTTCTTGGGCACGCCTTTCACTCTTTCCCGGACATTTGATGATCCACTTGAAGCTCCAGAGATATTGCTCATGATTAGAGAGGTCGATTTCAGAGATTGATGATTTTAGGTTTTTTTTTATTTTCGATTTGGGGATTTTGGAGAAGAAGATGGAGTATATTGGTACGCGGGTCGGGGTTTAGCCATGGGTCGGCTTTCAAATTGTATCTGTTGTTATCGCGGTACCTCACAAAGTATTGGATACTAAGTTTTTAATTAATTACCAATTACTGTCTGTCATGTTTAATTGTTTGTTTTAACAACTATGTTTAAGATTTTATTTCTGTAGCTTTTGTTATCGCGGAACTTTGTACTCGATATTCAGTTTGTTAGTTGTTTAAGATAGTTTTTTTGGTAGTTGTTAACCATGTTATATACGTTTCCAAATCATCTTCCATATCATGTTTTAAGTTTAATTTTTCTAAATTTTATAACTTCTCATTTTATTTCTTTCAGTTTGTTACTTGTTTTAGATATTTTTTTTGTTAGCTGTTAACCAATATACGTTTCTAAATCATCTTCTATATCATATTTTAAGTTTAATTTGTCTAAATTATATAACTTCTCCTTTATTTCTTTATGTTTGTATCTCATTTATAACCATTTTACGACTAACCTTTTATTTAAACTCTTTTTTTCTCTTCTTTCACATTCATTAGACGGTAATCTTATTCTTAGCGAAGTCGTTGTTGTCTTATCTTTTTAGTACAGGACGCTTGTTGCCTTTCAAGTTGCTAAATTTCAAAGAGGGTATATATCGTGGTACTTATTTTGTTGCCGCATATCATTCAACATAAACATATATTTAACATTCATAAGGAAGGTTTGTTGGGATCGCCCCTGATTGCAGATAATACACATTTCTAGGATCAGGATCCGTACGTATATACATTGAAAATTTTCTGATCTCCGAATTCTTGTTATTTATAAAACATGACTTCTTTTGAGTCTTCTAATCGCGGCACCATCCTTTCAAACCCTCCCTAGTCCAAAAAACAGTCTCCTTCCTTCATCTGCTACCGCCAAAAAACCTTTTCCCTCCTCGATCACTTGCCTCCCTGCGGGACATTATTTTTCAATTAGCACCCGTTTCCATGTGTTATCTGATAACACCCCCCTTATCGAATATACGTATACTCATAGAGAATCATTGTTAGTTATATATTTTTTACCGCTATCGGCCCACGGCATGTTGCCTTGTTATGGCCAATTTCCCTGCATCGTGAACACCTTTTCGCCGAAGTTCTCTGAAATTTTTTAAAAACTTCATTATTACATATCACAAGAGCCCGATAACTATATATGTTATTTGTTAACACTCTTATCCCGTAGCTAACTTACCTTAAACTCCCCCCTTGACAGCATCCTTCTTTTCCTTGGGCGACCTGGCGGCCTGCGGACATATGGTGGGGCCAGTTTTCCCCCTCCGATATCATCTGGGGATGGAGTTAGTGTATCCATATCTGGGACCGGCATTATTATGCCTTGGTAGGCCAACCTTAGATGAGGCACTGTGTGATGTATGCCTACCATTGTGTCTACCCGAATCCCCTCTTTTATACTTGCTGCTATTGCGTGGGAACAAGGAATTGTTAATAGCTGGAACTCCCTGCAAGTGCAAGTTCGCTCCCACAAGTTTACAGCAAATCCGGAGTCATTTCTATCTCTCACTTCATAATTGGCCTCCCCGATCTTAAGCACCACATATCCAGCTCCTTTCTCAAAATTCTCAATCACCATTTCATTCACTTTGGGTGGTAAAATGTTTCCCTCCTGCTGAGCAGCTTCTCGCCTGAGGGCAAACCATGTAACCAGCGTGGTTCGGAGTGATTCTAGAATAGAAATTACCGGATAATCCCGAGCCATTGTTAAGACATTATTTAGCGACTCCGCTATGTTGCTCGTCATGAAGTTAAACCGATCTCCAACGAAATGCGACCTAGTCCAATGCTCAAACCCGATTCCTGTTAGGTAATCTGCGCATGGTGGGTGCATTGCTCTTATCTCAGCAAATATTCCGTTGAAATCACTTAGTCGGTAAGCTCTTGCTGCTCTCGCTACTAGAACACTTAACCCCTCAGATTTGAACATTGCTACAATGTTCCTTTTCAGATGTACCACGCAAGCTGCATGTGAAGCCATTGGGTAAACCTGTACCATCATTACGGAGGCGTTATTTTGTTAATAAAGTATATCCTAGCCATCTCAACAAATGTAATATGTAATTAAATATTTATCTTGCTAATTCGTATATTATCTTGCTATTGTTTAAGTTATTGCTAAAAATCAACCTACTAGTCTTCTGTTTGAGGATTTCGTCATACCTTACGGATGCTTGTATAAATTGATGAGTGTCTGTCTGACACAAACACTAGATCTGGATCATCAGGTATCGCATCCGTTAGCCTCTCCATGAACCATGTCCATGCATCATCGTTTTCGCTGTTCACTATCCCAAAAGCAATTGGGAAAACTTGGAAATTGGCATCCTGAGCACTTGCAGCGATTAAGCATCCTCCATACCGTCCCCTGAGGTGAGTGCCATCAATCACTATCACTTTCCTCATATATTCATATCCTTGGATGGAAGCGTGGAGTGCGAAGAACAAATACTTAAAGCGTTCAACACCGGAGCTATCTTTCTCTGTCTCCAAGGCCACCAATGAATTAGGGTTTGTCTCCAACAGAAGTTTGAAGTACGGTTGGATTAAAGCATAGCTCCCCATTGCCGAACCCATCGCATTGTCCATTGCTATTTCTCTGGCCCTCCACGCTTTCCAGTAAGACACATTAAGGCTAAATTCTTGTCGTAGCATTTTCCTCAACTCGTTAGGTCGTGGTCCTCCCCCAACTCCAAGATACTTGGTCCGCATTAATTTCCCGATTACCGCAGTTGATGCTTGCTTATGGAAGTCTCCTCGCGCGTCAACACTACAAGTATGATGGAGAGTCGCGCTTTTAACTTCGAAACGCTCGCTACCCTCTAGCTTTGTTGCGTAAACCCGCCACGGGCACGTGTGGCTGACGCAAACCGCTAACAGTATGTTAGGGCATGATTTGGCGTAAATGAAATGAAATTTTCGCCTTATTGCATGAATAGCAAGCTTTGTTGCACAGTCTTCCTTACTTTTGAACAACCTGCCAATGAATATGTCATCCCATTCGTAGTCTGCATCTAGCAGGGCCCGATGCAAATAATCTGTCAATGAAAATAGTAATCGATAAGTTAAGTTATGACTTGATAATATAGTTAGCCCATTATTTTCGTTAGCAACTATTGTCGTTATCGAATCCACTGTTATCATCGTAATAGGTTTCTGTAAGTAGGATATGTTATCTGCTACTTTTTTAAGTAAAGGCAACTAAATACACTTAACCTACCTTCTTCTCCTGGGTCGTCAAAGTACGGTGGTGCGTCTCTATCATACAGGACTGTTGGAACCGGAGTTTCCTTCAAAACCATCTCCCCCATTTTTGTTCCTACCGTCGCCGTTGATGCCTCTCCTAAATCTTGAATTGTTCTGGCGCCGGGGACTGATACTGCCTTTCTCTTATTCATGTTTGTTGTATCAGTCGGTCCCATACATAGCGGCCCATCTGGGTCTGAGTAATAGTGAGCTAGCATGTCTTCCCCTACATTCAGTAATAACACTCCAAGTTAGTTAGCATGTAACATTACACTTACGATAAGTTCACAGTTATCCAGTAACTTACCTATCTGCGACATGCAGTTGTTGCTCGATATATCTGTGTCATCCATCAGCTCGTCACTCTCGTAGCTTAAGCTTTCAGATAGCTCTGTTGGCGTTCCATATGTTGAGTCCGTTGATGATACAGATACTATCATTGGGCCACCCGTATTTGGCTCCGCACTTGCAAGTGTTAGTTGGACTTCGCTGTTTGGATTTGCACCATCTTTATGTTGATCTCCGAAATCAAGTGCTCTTGCTGTTCTCTTGTCAGGTGTTTTTTCCTCCACTGCTCTGTCTGGAACCCCCAGTGTCATCTCTGTTGCATAAATTTCTCTCAACATCTCAGCTTGTTTAGATTTTCGCCACATCTCAAATTCCAAATCTCTCCTTGTCTCCTCGTCAATGGCTGGCTCTTTCCCTTTCGCGCTTACTCCATTATCTGGCTGTGTCATGTTTATTGGATTAACACTTCCTGTCCCGGTCATGCCCTGGTTGTCATTGATTACTACCCCTCCGGCCTGTTGTCTTCTCAACGCGCCAGCCATTCCTTCTGGTATGGTAACTTGTGGGCTACTACTGCCGGCCGCGTTATCTGATAGATTACGGAGTAACATCTTCGTTACCGCAGTGTCCCAGACAGCCCTCGTCTCTGCACTGTTCCAATATCTGTCTGATATCGCCTCTGCGCTCATGCTTCCGATGTCGATGTGGCTCCTGTATGAGTTCACTGTACGCTCTATCATCGACCCTCTCACGATTTTAACCTTCAGATGCATCTCCTCAAGATCTGCTCGGATGGCCATAAACAACGTCATATCTTCGTCGTCGAGAATATGTATGGGGTTCGCTCGCTGCCAATCTGGTCCCATCATCCATTGCGGCCATTGATAAGATAGCTCGATATCATCCTCCGGTCGGAGATTAAGTTTGTTTTTCACTACTTCGACAACTCTTGCGTAACTGTCTTTTTCTCGCAAACGGACGGCTAGACAGAAACCTTCTATCTCGGATACATGTTCGTAGCACCCGGTTTCGTCCTTTTTCCACTCTCCTCGCACAAGCCGGACGACCAGCGACATCTTTCTCCTGTATAAACAGCATGGTAAAAGTTTTGTTAACGACTTCCCTTTTTTCAAAAATAACAAGTATCTATATATATAGGTACAAAACCAAAGAGAAGTCTCCATAACTACACACCTCAGACTTAAATGCTCTGTCTTTCTTTCTCTTTTAGTTTTTAGCGGTTGCAGTGTTTAATATGTTAGTTGTTTGAGTTCTTCTTGTTGCAGCAATGTCGATATGGAGATAATAAATAGCCAAACATGTAGCTTCCATATCTGCCAAATCGATTGCGTATCACATCTAATCATTACTTCTTAACTTCTTTTTTAGTTTCCCAGCGTGCGGCGTAATATCTTGGTAGATTTCCCAAGCATTTAATGCTCGGTATCTCGCGGCAGAAGGCTATCGATTCTGTGCGTTTATAGGGGTAAGTTCGTCATATTTAATTTGCAAGAAAATGTCAACTTAAATAACGAAATCAAATGTACAGATCCTTAATTATTTGCCACTGCAGGTATAGATATTTTATTAACCCTTAATGAATTTGGGTTTCTTACTACAAGTTGTAAACAAATAAATAAGGAGTAAATTAAAACAAATGGAACTACATTTTGACTTTTTATGACGTCAGTTGGCCAACTATTACTGTCTCGCATTTTATTTCCTAAACAACCAAATCATAACTTGCAAGATTCCATATTCTTTCTTTTCTTTTTTTTTAACGACTTCAATACTTTATTAGACTTCAAGATTCCATATTCTTTCTTTTCTTATACCCAAAAACAATATCTATACTAGTATTTTCGAAACACTTTGGTGACGGATAGGTAAAAATGTTTCTGGGTTAATCGGATATCCGACCCGTTTTCTAAATTCCTTCACAAAAAAATTTGTTGGGTCGGGTTATATTTAATCCAACTCATACAGCGGATATTCCATATTTAATAATTTAGATATTTAGAAGATTTGATTAAGATTTAGAATTATGATTCTTCTATCATCTTTGTTTGATTTGTTTTTAACTGTTTTGAATCATCATATAATACATTAGAAAAAAAAATCAATTTTTTCTGCATATACTGTGATTCAACTGTGATATAAAATTTTAAAAACGGACATATATTATCCAATTGACGAAAATGTGTGTTCAACGTTCTACATCGATTAAAATATTTAGACAATGATTCAGAATCATATCATAAATAAGATCAACATTAATAAAATAAATGAGTTTTTTGGCGGAAAGAGTTTGGCGGGACGGATTTTTGAATCAACAATAATAAAAAGATTAGATATCATTAATCTGCCGCTTCAATACGGATTAAATCCTTTTGTTTTTTTAATACCACCAATATTAGACATATTAAATAAGTCTCATTTAAAAATGATTGTATAAAACCAAAAATTGTCCCGTGGTATAATGTTATTTAATAACAATATTTTAAAATTTTAAAATATCATTAACATGCCGTTTTAATACATACTAGATCCTGACCCGCACGTTCGTGCGGGAGAAGTGTTTTAATGAATATTTTTGCATAAAGTTTGTATTAATATATTTTGTTGGGTTAGTGAATTATAAAATAGTATAGATACCATAAACTTAGCATAATAATTGTAGAATTATATTTTGTGCTTTAAAAATAGTTTGGTGCAAAAGTTTGTATTTTCTATTTGATTAGTTTTAGAATTGAAAGTTGAGAATTTAAAAAATAATTAGCGTTAGATATGGTGCAGAACATATAATTTGAACAGTGGGAGAAGTTATGTGTTTAATAAATGCATCCTTCACCCATTTAATATTAATGAATTTATTTGGACAGATTTTTATTTTATTACAGAACAATCGTTGTTGTCCTTGTTGCTTCTTACTGCCTAACACGTGTCTGAGTGAAGATATCTCTTCTTCTTCCTTAGCGTATCATCGACTGGGCTTTTCATGGGCTGCTTAATTTTGTAAACCCATTATGTACTCTTGCTGATGTATGTTGTCTTATTAATAAAATCCAGAGAAATTTTTTTGTAAAAGGAACAATCGTTGTCTCATCTTTAAAACAAAAAGGAAAACCCACCGAACAAAACTAATAACATAAAAAAAAAAAAAAAAAAAAAACTAAGAACATGGCTCGATCAAAGAATCAATTGCGACAGCTATTGCGTCTCCGTTTATACTGCGTTGCAAATCGTGAATTCTTTAAAGTGGTAAGGATATTATTAAATCAGATATATAGTTCTACTGATTTTTAATATGTTTGTTCAATTCCCAATCTGTGAATTTTTATGTTATCTTTGTCCAAGGATTTTCAAGAAGCTAGATCTTCAATGGGTAATTATTGTCAATTGAATATTCAAATTTTTGTTCAGTGAATTAAATCAACTAACACGGATTTGATTTCGTGTAGTTTTTGTCGTTAGCTACAGAAGCAAGATGAACATTAAAGCTCCAGTTTACCGAACTATTTTTTTAACCCATAAATTTTTAACCGTATATTTTGTTTTTTTTGGTCTTGAAAAGAGTTCTACTTAATTTAGCTTCTATATATATATTTCAATATACTACAAATATAGTGATGTTAATGGAAGAAGAGGATAAACAAAGAAAAAAAAACTAATATGATTATTAGAAAACAATAGCTATTACCCAAAAATTTAAACATGTTACAAACAAATTTGAATGTATCAAGGTCAAGCGTAAATTGCGAGTAACATAAAGATATAGAGGAGGCTATCAGTCATTGGAGCTTTTCAGAAATCTATATGTTAGAGGTTAGTGAGATCATAATTTAGACACTCTGTTTTTTAGATTTGCATATTTACCAGTCTAATTGTGGTTGCTTCATATAGAAAACTTTGTTTTTCCCTAGTATATGCTAATATGAAAGTACTAAATAAGAGATGCAAAGTACAAATTTTTTTGCCATTGTTTGATATGCATTAATCACCTTTACACGAATGAACGATTTCACTTGGATTCTATAGCTTGTCTTGAAAGGTTTGATGTTAGCAAGATTGGTGATACCAAGATTTCATCCATTGTTAGAAATGAGAAACGAAGTAGCAAAATTGGTCTTTTGCAGCCATTTTTTTTAAAAGGAGTAGCAAAAGGTTAGGGGTCGTTTGAAAGTTTAATGAGTATTGAAAATGTTATTAGATATTCTATATTTATAGGAAAAAGAGGTCGGCTAGGGTTAGACCTATTAGATCAAAAGAATATATTTGCAAATCCATTTTTTAAATAAAGTTTTAAGGTATATACTTGATTTGAGATTTAATGAATATATAGTTATTGTTATATTTGGAAAATATATTAACTGAATTCGAATCAGATTGAAAACAACCTTCAAATTTGAATATTTTTGAAAGAATTATTGTTACCTTTACTATCTATCCTTATTTTGTATACGAAATTTATGAGATACGTTTGTTTTGGTAATATCTTTAAATACGTAAATGTCATTTTTTGTTTCTTCTTAGATTTGCATATATGGGATTTGGTTGTTATAGAAAGATCGGTGAACTGATTTTTGTTTAAATCGAATATATAGATTTCCTTCTTTTTTTGGTAAAACTCATTACTAAATATGGATATAAACGGATTTTATTAATTGTGGTAAAAACTCATAAATGAAATCGAAAATCTAGGAATAAGTTTTCTTTTAATCAACGTAATATATGGGATTGGGTAGTTATAGAAATATAGAAGAAGTGATATATTCTAATTCGAATTTTTAGATTTTCTTGTTATGGAAATATACGTGAAGGTATTGATTCTAATTTATTTTAACTTTAATTTCTGTAGATCTCGATCATAAATATCAGGCATCGTATTGGGCCTATTTACTCGAAAGCCCACTATGATTATTATGCAGGATCCGCGTGTTTTACCGTTTGTAGATCCGAGACCCGCGTATTTTACCGAATGGAGATCCGACTATAGGATCCAAGATCCGTGTGTTAGTGATAGTCAAATTGTCCATTATACCCCTTGACGAAATCTTTTAGTTAGTCATAGATTGAAAAATTTCCAATGGCATTCAATGTAATACTTTACCCTTAATGAGGTTATTTATTTTGCAATGCTTCCCAATTAATAGTATAGATTAAATCTTCAGTTTATTAAAATATAAATGTCTTACAGAATGATATGATTTATAAACTTTTATATATAATAAATAATCATTAAATTTTGAAATAAAAATAAATCACGGGTTAAGAAATTACGGAACGGGTTATATTTCGGAAAAGATTTATATGGCGGACTAATTTGAATCTATATTTATATACCGTTTTAATTCAGGTAAAATCCTCAGTTTATTAATAATTGTTTAGTGGACTCGTGGTACACCGTTACTTAATAACAATTGTAAACTATAATATAAATAAATATGTTATAAGAAGATACAATTTTACAAAATATTTTTATACTAACTTTAAAATTAAATCATCCCGCTGTGTACCGCGGTTTAAAATCTAGTTTTTTTATATAATTAAGTATGACCATAGATACGTCATATGTGTGACAGTGTGAGATATAGCTATGTATCCATGCAGATTAGAATTGAGAATAAACCATAAATTGTAAAAACCTAACTGGACCAAAAGCAGCGAGAACGTTTTTTTATAAATCGTTGGTTTTATTATCTTAAATTCGAAAATTTTGTAACCAAAACTGAACCGAAACCAATTTAATTTGGTGTAATCGAACCAAAATAAATTGAATAAAATAAAAGTTTATTAATTAGCCTTATATTTTTTTATGTTATATATTAAAAATTATAATCATATTACATAAGTTAGTATTTACATATATTTTTAGTTAAACCGAATTACAAATGGTTTGCGCTAAAATCATATTATATAAATTATTATTTACGCTAAAAATTATAGTCATATTACATAAGTTAGTATCTACGCTAAAAATACAATAATATGTCACTTAATATTTCTATCAAACCAAAAATAACCAAACCGAATTATAACCCAACTACCCAAGTTGCTCACCGCTATATCGTATTACACAATACCGAAGTTTGAATGCAATTCTAACCGAAAGGTTTTTAGTACAATGAAAATGTGCACGGATTCTTACGAAGATGTTCCAAACAATTGTTCTCAAAACGTTAGGATCGGAGTCTAACCTAAAGTAGATGTATCATGTGCCATCTTTTCCCAACCGTGATGTTTCTCTAGAAAATTCATTTTTCGAGAACAATCAATAGATTAATGTAAACATCAAAAGATTTATTAGTTAAGAAAACAACCACCTAATTTTTATATGTAGAAACTTGTTGTAATGGTCATAACCAATAGAACAATAAATTATTAAAAATGAATTCATCATCACTATATATATTCAACATTCGCTTACATACATTCTGTCCAAATTAGAGAACAAGTAACTGATCAAGAAAGAGTGAAATCAACACAAAACACAATGATGATCCTAAGGCTGGCTCTAGCCATCATCATCTCCGCCTATGCAACCGCACAACCAGCCTCAACGTCGTCCCTTGTAACCTATATATTCGGCGACTCGCTAACCGAAGTTGGTAACAACAATTATTTGCAATATTCGCTAGCAAGAGCAGACTTTCCATATTATGGAGTTGATTTCTCTGGCGGTAAAGTTACCGGAAGATTCACCAACGGTCGGACTATCGGCGATATCATATGTGCTTTATCTCTCTCTCTTTCTCCTTTTAACTATGTGCTTCTAAATATATGCATACATACATTTTCATGTACATTTATGTGGCCATCTATTTATACACAACATTCATCTTCTACTTCTGCTCGTGTTTTTGTGATGCACATATACATATAACATACTAAAAATAAGGTTTGATTTTGGTTTTGTTTGTTCGAATATATATGATTGTTATTGTATAGCTTTTAGACTCACTATAGTTATGGTTTTTAATATTTGTATTTTATAAAGATATATTTAAAACTTCATAAACATTTATATCTATTTTTCACATCTCCAAAAACATTTATTTGTTTATTATAGCTACAAAGCTTGGGATTCCATCGCCACCACCATATCTATCGTTATCACAAAACGACGATGCATTTCTCAGTGGTATTAATTACGCATCCGGAGGAGCTGGAATTCTCAATGAAACTGGCATTTACTTTGTATTACTTCTCCTTTTCTATATATTCTTGTAAGAATTTAAAAAATTTAAGTATTTTAATATTAATTATATGTAGTATTATTCTGATGGAGCAGATCCAAAGGCTGACGTTCAATGATCAAATAAATTATTTCAAGAAATCTAAAGAAGTTATTAGGGCGAAAATCGGAGATGGAGCTGCGAACAAGCATGTAAATGATGCCATGTACTTCATTGGTTTGGGTATAAATTAAAATTTACATAACTTGGCTTTATCTATAGTTTCTTATTTCTTATTATTTCATTTTCTAGAAAAGTATTATTAATTACTTTTCCTTCATTTTAAATAGGAAGCAACGATTATGTAAACAATTTCTTGCAGCCATTTATGGCAGATGGGCAGCAATATACACATGACGAGTTTGTCGAACTCTTGACCTCAACCCTAGACAATCAGCTTACGGTATTATTCAAACCAACTTCTAATTTTCTTTTTCTTTTGTTTTCTAAATCAGAAATATCAAAAGAGAGAGCTTCTAGTGAACAAATTGGTTGGTCGTCTGCACTGTCTTTTTCTTATTTATTTTTCTCCAGCATTATTATTAGTTTGTTATATTAAGCTAGCCAATATACACTACAAGTGCTTGTATGCATGGTTTAAGTATCTTTTAGAAACAACTTTTTTGATACTTCTATATCCTATTTTTGTTAATGAATATTCTGTCTCTTTTAGATATGTATTATAACTATGACTAAAAATTTCATTTATTTACGTGAAAAAACAAATGATAGTGTACTAAATTAGAGATTTTTTTCTGATAAAAAATAAATTATAGTTAATGTTATGTCTTGACGACTAATATTTTTTTCTAGTTTGATAAATCTTAACATTTTATTAGTGGGAGATTTATAAGATAAAAAGGTTCATAAGCTAATCACATCACATATTATTTTTTCATGATGCATGTAATTTTGAAAATAAACACCTTAATATGAATAAATAACATTGTATGTTTTCTGACCCTGTTAGATAAATAAATAGTGCTATTTGTCAAAATCTGCGCACGTAATAATACAAAAAGGTAGTTATATTTTTATTACCAAACATAATTACTAGGTTAAAGACATTTACTCTATTGAATCTTATATTTGAGCTATTTGTTTAATTTTTTTTTTGGACAAGTTATTTGTTTCATTAAACCATGAAATAACTGAAATTTGGTGGAGCAGACAATATACAAATTAGGAGCGAGGAAAGTAATATTTCATGGGCTAGGTCCATTGGGCTGTATCCCATCACAAAGAGTGAAGTCGAAGACAGGCATGTGCCTGAAGCGTGTCAACGAGTGGGTATTGGAATTCAACTCAAGAACTAAGAAGCTTCTTCTAGATCTCAACAAACGCCTTCCCGGAGCTAAATTCGCCTTCGCCGACACTTATCCTGCCGTTCTCGACCTCATCAACAATCCTACTCACTACGGTAAATATAGAAAGAAAAAAAAAAAAAAAACTAGTCATTTCTTGGAATCAAAGCGTTTGCATTTGCGTTAGGGGTGTTCATATCGGATAACCAAACATACCATAACGAGTCGAAAACATATACTTCTAAATAGTACTTATAGTACATTGAACAAAATATGGTAGAAGAGATTCATGAAATCGGTCGGATTTGATTAGTTTCAGTATCTAAATCATGAACTGTAATTCGGATCAACTAGGTCAAATTCAAGATCGGCTATTTCGAATAAGTTAGTAAATTTTAGTAATTTCGCAATATTTACAATAATTTGAAACCATAACTTACGCAAACGTGGTTTTATGTTATACTTAATATGTTTTGTATTCGTTAGGATAAATTACATATAATTTGAATAGGTAATTATTTCAAGAGATACAAAGATAGTAGAAAAGAAGTTTGGGATGTCTCACAAGTCACAATATACAATTTAGTTTGCGTTCTGATTTTTCTGTTTGTTAAAATACTAATTTGTATTTTTGTTCGATAACACATTTGTGATTTTACAATAAACCGCAGGGTTTAAGATATCAAACACGTCGTGTTGCAATGTGGATACAAGTGTTGGAGGTCTTTGTCTTCCCAATTCTAAGATGTGTAAAAATCGTGAAGACTTTGTCTTCTGGGACGCATTTCATCCGTCCGATTCGGCTAATCAAATCCTAGCCGATCATCTTTTCTCCTCTCTTCTTTCTTCCTCTTCTCCTTCTCCTGCTCCTAAACCACGTCATTAGTATAGTATTTACAAAAATAAAAATATTAAACCAACTTCTTGTTAAATTGGTCCTACTTGTTAGATATACGTGTGTAATTTTAATTTTCTGTTCTTGATGTAACCATGCATCAGGACAAATATGTGTGTCTTGTTTGTTACACAAGTATTATTGATTCTGAGATAATTATGGTTTTGTATGTATCGTGAACACATATTATTATATCCGTGTTTAGGGTTCCTAAACATGCGTAATAAATAAATAAGTTAAATGAAAAAATTTGTCATGCAAACAATCTTAGTTATGAAGTTTTTTTTTAATACATGCACTAAGGAAAGATACATTTTGAAATATTACAAGAGCCGACGACGGAAAAATAAGAAACCCTTGAAAACACAACCCGAAAGACGGAAAGAGGGAGACATAAGCCCAAAAGAGTGAAACAAAACTTCAAAAGTAAGAGGAAACAAACAAAAAGATATAAAACAAGGAAACGAAAAAAAGAGATCTTACACCAAATAGCTCATAACCTCTAAAACTGCCAGATGAATCATGAAAACTCCCACGAACCTTCACATCGAACCCTTAGACGCTAGAGCTGCACCAAAGAATCAGACCCTCGCGAAGAAACAAACCAGACGAACAAAAATGGAAACCAAAATGTAGTAATTATGCATAAATATGCATTCTATCATAATTATGTATAAATATGATAACTGATTTAACATGATAAATATATATTTAAC